GAACTTGGACCAAGCTCTAGCATCGTGGACATTGGGCTTAAGAGATTTGTACACGCCACAAGTGCGTCTGTGAGCACCCGGAGGCACCGCTCGCTCGGACATTCGCCGCTTATCAGATTCGTTCGGACGCGCCGAACGTGAGGCTTGCTCGTGTTACATGAAATCTTGAAACGCTGCTGTAATTTCCAAAGAGACAAGTATACATTGGGCGTCCGAGAGAGAAAACGAGGGCTTTAAGCGCAGCGAGTAAGCAACGCCAACAGATTGATACAGTATCACTTTGATATCCCACAGATGTATATTGTTACATCATGTCAATCGGTCCTCGCCATTTTTATGAATTCAAATCGGACACGCCGTTTATTTAGCCATGAGACTTTCTTTTTAATTATTAAGTATAATTTATCCGTGTGTTATTCATAATTCATCATACTACAGCGTTACAACAAAACAGACAGAATGTGGCTCCAAGCACACACGCTACAACTCATATACCGTCTAAGCCACCCGCTCGACCCGCGCCACCTTCCGTGGGTATGTTTAATCGTACTGAATGTTGTGTGTTTTGTGGGCTAGTTTGTTTCCCTTATTCCGGAGCAAGCTTTTGCTCGATCGCCTGAGTGTCCCGAGTCCAGACGTACTTTTCGAACCACTTAATTCCTTGACATTAGTTGTAACGTACAGCAAACTCCTCTAGTTGTACACTACGTTCGAAATACACTAGATAATTTTGGAATGTCTTTACGAATATATCTCGCGTATCTTTATAATACAATTTCATGAGACAATTATAATTTCCTTAACGTACAAAGTAAATGCACAGCTTACCTTCGATGTCGAAAGTAGTCTTTGCTTAAAGAAATTCGTCGTCTTTAAGTACTTTCCGTTGGTTCTTACTACACGTGTAGCTACGTGTTGGACTTTGCGACGATATATTTTTCAGCCTGTGTATTTATCGCGAGAAAAAGCCCGTCTTGGTTATCGTACAGCATTTTAATATTTTAATTCAACAAAAAGTTTGCAAAGTTCTCTCAATTGCCTGAACATAAAAGCGACTGCGTTGAAAAGGATTGCGATATTATTTTGTAATCGTAGAATGTGAATTCTTACTTGTCGACGGTACGCCTTTCACTTACCATCCGCCCGAGGGGTTCATGTTTTACATACCGTTTACTTGTAATCACACATTTGCACTTTGTCAATTTCGACAATATGTCGTTAATAATGCTTTACACTTTACGCGGCGAAAAACAGGAGTCGCGTCTTCCCCCACTACCATGACCGGTGGTCCCCCGCAAAGACCTGCACCACCTGCAAGTATCGGTATGTTCAAATAAACGTATGCCACCACAGGCCCAATACGTCTACGGCTAACACAATTGTTACCAGTTCTCATTGTATCGATTAGTAGATGCTCAAATGCTCCGAAGGAAAAAGCAAAGTGCACTCCAAGCACAGTCCTTTTGCTTGCTCAGCCGCCTCTTTTCCTTTTGAATATTTGCCGCGCGATCTGTTGAACGGAAGTAATAGATGTCGCATGGATTCGAGTGATCAGACACAACTGTTATCTGGCGTGCAATAATCACACGGGATGATTTCAGGGAGTAATTTTACGGCAACGACGGGTGGCCCGCCGCCTAAGCCGGCGCAACCTTCGTTTCCAAATAGTCCCGTAGGAATCTCGTCAATGAAAGTTGCGACCTCCGCCGTGGGTGTTGTTTCGTCGCCCCCAACTGTACCTACCTGTGGAATAGGTGAGAGATAGGAATGCGTTAAAATAGAGAGAGAATTCGCTATCTTTTGCATACATGCTTGTCAATTTTTAATTAGGTATCCCGTCAGTGGCACCAATCGCTCCTTTAAACACAACTCCTAGGCCAATGGCTGCCTTCAATATGGCACAACCGATGCCGACACAGCCATTAGGCATGGTTGGTGCGGGTATGGTTGCACCTATGACCGGCATCCCAAGTATGGTACCACCCATCGGATCAATAAATACTGGTGCGTATGTGCAAAACGCACTGAGAGGCCTGTGTCCACGATGCTGGAACTCGATCCAAGTTCCAGTTTCGAGAAACGTAAAGCCGACCGACTCGCAGCTATTCCATGAAAGCCGCGAGTTGATTAGCTAAACATTTCTCGAAACTAGGACCAAGTTCCAGCCGTCGTTGACACAGGCCTTAAGACTTGTTTACAGTCAATTCTTATAATTAAGAATCGTCTTAAATACCTCTCGAAATACTTCGCGGTCAGTAAAATGACCTACGTGGCGTCCGTACGGTCTTTTTTTTCAGCCAGATGGTTTTTGAACATATATTTAGACGATCTTAAGTATAAGAATTGATTATGAACAATTCTTAGAGTCTAGTGCAGGCGAATTCGCAATATGTCTCACAATCCTTGAATTCAATACAATATTAACTTTCTGTGTTTTTTCAGGTACTGGAGTCGCCCAATCAGTAGCGTTGCCCTTGGTGTCCTCGACCACTGCGAACGGTACGCTGGTGAATGGCGCAATTACGCAAACGCCAGTGTCTACGAATACACCTTTGAGTACAACGGCACGTCCGCCAAGTATAGACAGAGTAGGCTCCGTGGATTCTCAGCACAGTCAGCACTCGGCCGGCTCGCCGCAGTCCGCGGAGTGGGCGGTGCCGCATCAGACTAAATTGAAGTACACCCAGTTATTTAATACCTGGGACAGAACGAGATCCGGCTTTTTGTCTGGGCCTCAGGCGAGAAATATCATGGTGCAGTCGCAGCTGCCGCAACCCATACTCGCTCAAATATGGTATAGTAACGAAATATGATACAAGACAGTGTATGAAATTATTTACGCGTGGAACGGAGGGTGAGAAGTTTCCGAAATGTCGACAGGGCTCTGGCCGATATGGACTCGGACGGGCGCTTAGGCTCCGAGGAATTTGTCCTCGCGATGCATCTCTGCGACATCGCCAAGGCCGGCGAGAGTATACCTACGGCACTTCCGCTGGAACTTATTCCACCCACGTTTAGACGGCAGCGTCAAAGCAGTTTAACGCTGTCTCAAAACGCGACGGAGAATATTGACCCATTAGCAGGCATGCCGCAGGTATGTGTCGAGTATAAAAATATCTTCTTGCACGAAAAAGAGAAGAGATGGAAGGACAAAAAGTATCTTTTTACAGACTTCATTCGAAGATAAACGCAAAGAGAACTTTGAGAAAGGTCAAGCGGAATTGGAACGTAGGCGTAAAGCGTTATTAGAGATTCAGCGGAAGGAGCAAGAGGAGCGAGAGCGCAAGGAGAGGGAGGAGGCCGACAAACTAGAGAAAATAAGGTGAGACCGCTTATTAATTGAACATAACGTAGGAAAGTTTCGTGGTTTTTTTTGTGTGACGCAGACTAGAACAGGAGAGGCGTAGACAAGCGGAAATCGAGAAACAAATGCAGAGGCAAAAGGAGATCGAACAGGAGAAGGAGGAGCAACGAAAACGCGCGCAGGAACAGAAAGAGGCGGCGCGCAAGTAAGTTTCACTGTACGATAGCATTAGAGAAATTTATATCTGTAACGGGATTTAAAAGCGGCGATGCTCCGCAACGTTTAGGGAGATGGAGAGACAACGACAATTGGAGTGGGAGCGACAGAAGTCACAAGAGTTGCAGGCGCAGAGGCAAAAGGAGCAGGACGTTCTTCTCAAGTTGAAGGCGAAGAATCAGACGTTGACCATCGAACTTGGCACGCTTGTAAGTCTATGGGAAGGATACAAGCTTGAAAGTAGTAATGCTCGAATGATCGCAAGCCCACCCTTATCTTCCAGAATGACAAAGTGAAGGAGCTGTCGCAGAAGATTTGCGACACTCGGGTGGGAGTGTCGGGCGTCAAAACGACTATCGACGGTATGAGATCGACGAGAGACACGCAGTTGCAGGAAATGGCCGCGTTAAAAAATAAGCTCCGAGAACAAAATCAAAGACTGCTGTCGTTGAGTCAGGAGAAAGCGCGCATCGAGGCGAGGAACAAACTCAACGCGGCGCAGGACGCGGCCGGACAAGAGGCTATTAAAATGGCCTTCGACAATAAACAAATTACTCTTAAGCAGATGAAAGATAAAATAGCAGATTTACAACAGCAGGTGCGCGCCTGGATTGCTCGAGCTTTCGCGATATCGGTATCCTATTTTCTAACCGTTCTACTTTTCCAACAGGTTGATTCTAAAATGTCCGACATTGAAAACAATAACGGGCAGCTCGAGGACATCAAGACGCAGATGAAGAATCTAGTGGTGGATTGTAAACAGCTCTACGTCACTTTTGACGAGAAGAAGAAGAGAGTGATCGAGCTTCGGTCAGGCGGTAACGTCTCGGCCGCCGACTTTGCCACATCTGCATGGGGCGACAGCGGTTGGGCGCCTACCAGCGACACGGCTTGGCCCGTCGACGACACTACAAGCTCAATAAACGAAGCTGCCGTTGTGGGCGTCCGTAAATACAGAGTCCTTTACGAATTTGTCGCGCGAAATCAAGACGAGATATCGTTTCAACCTGGCGACATTATATTGGTAGATACGACAGGCATAATAGAATCGCCGCTGCGAAAAAGAAACTTGACCGATACGTAAACTAGGTATCGTCTGTGCCGCAGGTACCACCTGTGCAAAATGCCGAACCAGGATGGATGGCGGGAGAGATTCGCGGTCACACTGGCTGGTTTCCCGAGTCTTACGTGGAGCCGGTGGATACTGTTACGACTGATTTGGACAACGAACGCACTTTCATACAGCAAGACAGTGTGGAGAAGAGAACGTTAGAGTTAGTTGCTTTAATTTACGTCGATAGTACCAGGAGTGTGTCGTTTTATATGTCGGTAAATGTCGGCCTTTCTGTTACGATTGTGCAGAGGAATAGCAGAGGTTCCCGAGAACGTGTCGGACGCGGGATCATTGGGGGGAGAAGCCCCGGTAGTGGAGGCTATTACACCTACTTTAGGATTAGGCACACCCTGCAGCATACAAGCCACCGCTTTGTTTCCTTACCGACCTACTATGGAGCAGCATCTTGCCTTTGAAAAGGGAGAAACTATCAATGTTTCCGAGCAGCAGGTTACTATTATATTAATTGTAAGGAGAAACGCGATGCGTACGCCCGTTTCGTAAAGCGTCCGTTTTATTCAGAACGACTGGTGGTACGGGTCGGCCAGTACCGGAAATCAGGGCTGGTTTCCCAAATCGTACGTGAAGGAGGTGATCGCGAGCGGCAAGGACACCGCGGCTGACGGTCTCAATGAGTATTACGTTGCCCTTTACCGGTACGAGTCGTCCGAGACCGGCGATCTTAGCTTCAATCAGGGGGAAGTTATGTTAGTTATAAAGAAGGACGGCGAGTGGTGGACCGGGTGCATAGGGAACAAAAGTGGGATCTTTCCGTCTAATTACGTAGAGAAGTGCGACGCTCCCAGCCAGGTGCGTTAGATATCTGCAATTTCGTCTCGGCTAGTTCCTAAGCGTTGATTCATTTGAAAGTGGAAGTTGAACGCGTGACTCGATAAGAGCCAATTTCGTTCTGTTGTTGATCCAAAAAGTCTTAACACGCTCGCTTGAAAGTTTCTAACGCGCGTTTGTGTGTCAGGATGCGTCTACTAACGTTCAGTCCGCTGCTGCTGTTGTTGCTGCAACCGCGGAAACAAAGAGCGAAGCTGACGATGTTCCGGCGGCCGCGGAATCGCAAGTGCGTAATCGTAATTGTTCTAACTTTTACGTTTGCAATTGTATCCCGTGTGACTATACGCGTGGAAATGCTAATGCTTTTAATTCACTCGTCCATTATTGACGCCGAACAATAAGACACAAGCTTAACTGACACAAAGCGTGCGCGTATTTAGCAGGTAGAGAAAACGGCGGAGCAGCTGGAAGACGAAAGAGCAGCTGCCGAGGATAGAGCGGAGTTACCGGACTTTACTGCTATGGCTGCGCAGCAGGTAAGAGCAAAGACTTAATGTGTACTCGCACAATTAGAACTTGTACAATTGTAAGAGTGTAATTGCTCACTGCTTCTTTTATGCTTACGACATCCCGTTAATGCAGTACTACAAGGTATTTGATTTGTCATATTGTTATATCGATTTTGATATCGTTATTGCGTAGAAATGTTTTTCTTTCTTAAAATTGTTGACGTTATAAAACCGCTTTGATACATCGAGAAGCTAATTTTACTCAAGAGAGAAATCTTTTCGTCGCAGAGAGGCAGGAAGCCGGAAATTGTTCAAGTTATCGCGCCCTATCAAGCAACAAGCTCGGAACAGTTGAACTTGCAAAGAGGACAGCTAATAATGATTCGCAAAAAGACTGACAGCGGCTGGTGGGAAGGAGAGCTCCAGGTAGAAAGCATACCCACACGGCACAGAAAGATTGCAGGAAGATTGTAGAAATGTTACATTGTAAGATTGCAATATTGCAGCAACGTTGCGCAACATTGCCGCAACGTTTCTGGAGGATTGCGGCAACGTTGAAATGTCCTCAGAGAGATTGCAGTGCAATGTTTTTGGAATAATTTGTTGTACATAAGCAGAGAATTTACTAATTACATATACATCCGGACCTTTTTCAAGGCATAGCAAGCTTTTGCGAAGCAACCTAAGGAGATTATGTCGCTTCGCAATAGATGGAGATTACGAGCAACACCGCACTGATCAAGTACTTAATAATTCGCGCATTATTGGTACTAACGAAAATAATAACAGTATAAAATTCTCGTAATTAAAAAAATTTTTTAAATAGAAAATACAGTATTTTCATTATTTTTGAAACATTGTTGCAATATTGCTATCGAAAGTTTGCAATTTTATATCCCTGCAATGTCTCTGCAAGATTGCAACGTTTCTGCAATGTAACTGCAACCATCTGTGCTGTCCCACACAGCACAGGAAGATTGCAGAAATGTTACATTGCAAGATTGCAATATTGCAGCAACGTTGCGCAACATTGCCGCAACGTTTCTGGAGGATTGCGGCAACGTTGAAATGTCCTCAGAGAGATTGCAGTGCAATGTTCTTGGAATAATTTGTTGTTGTACATAAGCAGAGAATTTACTAATTACACATACATCCGGACCTTTTTCAAGGCATAGCAAGCC